GCAGAAATGTGCAACAGACTCACGTTGGTTTTAAAGAGTAATTTAAATACATTAGTAAATCAATGACATCGGCAGTTTGATGGACTATGATGGAGCAGTCCCTCATCTGAAACATCATCTTTAAAACCTGCAAAGCTCTGGCAACTGAGCTGTTACAACTTTACCATGTTGTTTTTGGTGGGTTTTTTTTTGTTTTTTGTTTTTTTTTTAACTTTATCTTCCCTCTCCCACCCCTCAAACAGCTTCTAGTGTTATTCCAGCTTACACTGACAAGAGGTTTCTCTCCTGCTGGACTGGCCCTCAAGCCCTCTGGACTCCCCAGTGTCACATCAGAGTGAGAAAGAAGAAAGGCTTTATTTGGCCCTTCTTGGCCATGGAGAGGCAGGAGATGTCAGCAACATGGCTGAGGAGCAGCTCTGCTCTAAGAATGTACAGATACAGGCTCAGAAAGGAGACAGTCACTTCTGTTGAAGAAAAGCACTAACTTATTTCTTTCCTTTTGCCTGACTGGCACATACTCACATCTGGTGGGGTGTTAGTCACCCTGAACTTAAAATAGGAAACAGTGGTTGACATTTAGAGAAAAGCAAGACATTTTTGCCCCAGGAAGTGCTCCACAGGGTCATATGAAATGATCACATCTTTCAGCACCAAGTCCTACCTCTCTGAAGATCTGACCTCAGGCAAACCCAAGCACTGCCGTGGAAGAAGCTACAATCAACCAGGAGATGTGCAAGTCTGCCCACCTGTCAGCCCGGAGTACATTCTTGATGGGACTTCTGTCAGGCTGGGCTTCACCATTGCAAGGGTGAAGAAAGAACAATCTCCCTGCCTCAAGAACATCTACAGAGTTACCTTGTTGTCTTCTTCAGTAATAAACTGCTCTTTGCTAAGGTCATCCTTCATCTACACAGTAAATAAAACTGTCAACTGAAGTGAGTTCCTGTCTCTCAGCAGTCAAGCAATACAATAAAACTCAAAATAATGTATTTAAACAACGATTTTGAGAAAGAATGCAAACCTTAAGGAAGTTTTCATATAATCATTGCCTCTCAGTTAATCAACATAAAAAGTTATTTAGGAGATACGGTTTATAGGGCTGATACTCAGATCATCTTTAGAGACAAAAAAAAATCAAGACCTCATCATAACCATTGATTCTGTCTCTCTCCACTTAACACCTAAAGAACATTTCAAGTTAAAAAACTGCAGCTTCAAGAAACAAAAACAATCCTAAAGATTGCCTGTTTAATTTTAATTCTATTACGTAGGTAACCTTACTGCTGTCAAGCAACATTTCTCACCTATTTAAGAAGGAATTCAATTGGAAATGCTAAGATATTTTCAGCATGCTATTTTTATCTAGAGGAAAATAACCCATTAGATGCATGCAAACAGTAAAAACATACTTGCTAGAAAAAATCGAGTTTATTTCTACCATACCTGCCATACATCAACCAGACACGATAACATGTCTTTCCAGAAGAACGAGCCCAACTGAGACAGCTGTAGTGAGCTCACAGGGACTTCTATAGTCTAACTCCACAATTTTAGTTGCCTAAAATACAAGGCTTGGGTTTCTCCAATACATTCACAAATCATATTGTTTAGAGAGGCAAAACAGGTAGAAATGCTGTTCCCTTTTTGTTGTGATTCTCACTAAGACCACGTAGTCCTACACCAGTCAGAACGCAATGATTCAGCTGCCAAAGCAAGTGTTTACCTATCCCAATGTTTGGATGGCGATTTACATAAACACAAAAACAAATCCCACATGATTCCCACATGGAGTCTGAAATCAGACTCCAGCTCTGCCTCAACAAGAAGGGTACAACCCACATCAGACTGACCCAACCCAGCTCCAATTCCACAGGGCTTTCAGTTCTTTCATTTCCTTCTCACTGGAGTGGCAACAGCTTGTCCCATTTCTGGAACAAAGAGTAGGAGAGATTGAAACATTTACAAGAAGCTCACATCTATCTTTCTAAACCCAAACACTCAAAAATCGTAACTGTGAACCCTCTCCCAGATCATGGGATTTTGAAAGATGTTACCTTCAAAATTATGGATTATATACTATGATGTTCTCCATTTTAAAATATTTAGATAGAAAACCAAGTTTTTATCAACAGTTAACCACTAGTGGAAAAAAAAAAACTCATCCCATATTTATGTGATTCCTGGAGGCTGAACTTTAAAAATAGTCCAACCATTACAATTCATCACATGTAAATTTATGGGACTTGGCAACTATGTCAACATCTCCAGGGATGATGGAAGAGGAGGAGAGCTCTTGGCTAAATGGGTTAAACGTTCTTTTATTTTTTTCATCTTTTATTTATTTACTATTTCTTTAGTAAATAGAAGGAGCATGCTGAAAGTGATTTCTTAAAGAAGCCCATTGATTCATTCTAAGTGCTACGGAGACATGTTCTTACCAGTACCCCACACCAAGAATTCTGACACTCATTCAACAAAACTAGGTGCATTCTGCAGAAAGACAAACTAGAAAATAAAAATACATTTTTTTCCCTGAAAAACATGTCCTTTCTAAGACTATTGCCCACAGCAAGTTAGGAGTAAAAAGTCAGGTTTAATAAGAGTACAGGAGAAGAGCAGTTTCAGAGTAGCTGTTCATTTTCTTGTTTTGTTAAAGGCAGAGAGAATCCCATGGGGGGCAAAAAAAGTGCAGTAATTGGTGGTTGCATTCTGTTTTTCCAAACAGAAAAATTAATCTTTATCAATTTTACAAATCAAGAGAGGACAGGTGGAAGGAAGATTATTACTCTTTGCGTTTGTTTCCTTATTCTAAAATGTAGAGTAAGAGAAATGACAACAGTTCCTACCTAGCACAAACACCTGCTGTTCCAGACACAGTCAGTGCTACAGCCCAGCTTTGCTTCTGGGAGTTCAGCCGCATCTTTGCTTTGTAATTCCACAGTGCTGGCTGACAGCTATTATTATTTTGTGCCTTTGCACCAGAGCTTACAAACTCCACTCTGTGCAGGCACGCAGCACGGTGAGCCCCGAGGAGGCCCAGCAGCAGAAGGCTGCCAGCATCACACACTGCCCTACAGCACAGCTTTGCTATCGGTCACACCTGGCAGTCCGTGTGCAGCCCCACCAGAAGCTGTGATCTGCAGAGGCTTTCAGACACGGCTGTCAGAAGATCCTTCCTCTTGCATGCCAATAACTGAAGCTGATCTGCAATTTACGCTTCGCTGTGTACCAGACTCCTACTCCTGAGGAATATTTACCATCCAAAAACAAAAATACTGCCATAAGGTGTGAATAACATCAAGTCTTTTGTTTAAGAGGAAATACTGTGACTGGCTGATATTTTCCAACACTGCAATAATTTTATAAACACCTACTAACAGAGCAACTTCCACCATATGATCGTGGCTCTCAGGCCTGCCACCCCCAGCACTGCTCCAAAATGAGCACAAAGGCTCAGAAGAACCCAACACAGCACTGCTTTGGTCACAGCATTCATTCTGGTCATTCTGGTGGCCAAACTGGAAAAAGTCAGATGGCTACAATTGTTTGCTTCCTTTTTTTTCCTCCAGATTAACTTGGATATTGAGAAGTTTACACTATCGGCCCTAACACAGATGCCCCTGTTTGTTGCAGGGCAGTTGGCCTTCAAGAGTCCCCTCCAACACAATTCTACAACTCCAATTTCATTGCCTAATCTCCATGACTGTTCCTCCATGGGGTTTGGGGAGATTAATACATGCAAGAGCAATGCAGAGTTTTTATAGCACGTTACAACATCTATCTTTTGAAAACGTATTTGAGAGAGAGGGATCACACAGAATATTACTACAGAGGAAAGTCTAACACTTGCTATTATACCTAGAACACACTGCAATAGGATAATTCTAGGGTGCAGCAGCAAACAACTGCAGTTTGGTACACGCATTTGGAATGAAAATACAGATAGTTTTTTGTTTCCTGTCAAACAATCCAGTTAATCTCAGCGTTAAAGCCAGTTGTCATAACATCCACTTACAAGGTTTGCATCCATTATTTATCCACCAGAAAAGGAACTATAACCAAAAAGAAATAGAAAATACTGTATAGAAAGGCTGTTTATGCTTAGATCTTTTTACTCATAACACAATGGAAAGCATAACAAAATGGCAGGTAGCAAGGTCTTAAGCTATGCAGAGTAAGGGTCTGCTTAGATATAAAAGCAGAAGGCACAAAAATAAATTGAATGAAAAAAGAAAGCTGCTTACCTTCAGAAAGCATCAGGTACACAGGAATCTCCAACAAAACCCCCTTCCATCCACTGCCAACCCTTAAATGAGGTCTGGAAAAGGGTGGATCCTGGCTCCTCCCCTCCTGGTCACTCAGGTGTATGCAATCACCTGGGCTGGCCTTGCCTTCCCACCAGGTGCTCAATCACTGGTTCAAACTGTGACTTAATATTCCCCACACACTACTGCTGTTTACTCCATACACATTAAGTTAAATTCCACAATTAGAAGCATAAATAAATCCCGGAAGTTTGTGTTCGTATCAGGAGATGCCATTATTTCACCACTGAGAATAAATTTAGCCCATTTAGACACTGACCACAAGAAGCCCATGTATCATGTCAGCATTGGGGTCCCTGCTGCAGCCTTGCAACACAGCCTTTGCAAAGACAGCACTGCTACCTGTCTGAGCAGATGGGGCACTCATGCAATGCTGCTCTGTTCACCATCCCCTTCCTCTGCTCTGCCACAGGCACTTAGCTGGCACAATGACTTCATGCTGTGTCTAGAGCCAAGAAAGCTCCTTAAAGCATACAAAGCTCCGTCATCCCAGAGATAGTTTTGGCTGCTACAGAGCTTGCTTATCCCAGATAAATTTCTGAACTCCTTTCCTACCTTTTTACCTACAGAAGAAGAATACCACTTTGAGGATAGCAAAAACAGTCAGCAAGCCACGTTGGCACGTGCCTTTAGTTACACTTTATATGTCAGCCAGTATTAACATTTCTGCCTTACCTTTGTACAGGGTATCTGCATCCTCAATTGGAAGCTGCTTCTTGGCAGCTGCTCTGCGATAGACCACGTGTGTTCTGCCTCCTTCCTCCTCCTCCTCACGAGTCCCCTTCTCCAGAGGTTCAATGAAGAACTCGTCCTTGTCTGTGCGAATCATGCCAGCCTGGAGGAACAGGGCAGAGATGAAACATTTTGTGTTACTGCACACATAGCTGACACTGTGAGTAAATAGTTACAGTATGCTCAAGCACACATTAGTGTCCTCTAGAGAGCAATTAGGATGCAGAGAGGAAGCCAGGTGAATTCTTTATTAGAGCAAAATGAAGTTCCATTTCCCCAACTTGACAAGAAAGGACAAAAGGTAAAACCTGAACCAAAGGGATTTCTCCTTAAACCAGGTGAGCGAAGCACAGGTCTGAGAATCTGTCTGGGAAATACCATCTCAATTAGAAACCAGCTACAATGCAAGTTAATATGACCTTGCCTATCTGTCAGCCACAGACTGCTCCAGTGCCTCCTATCTGCTAAACAGAGGATCAGGTCAGTGCTGTAAGCTGGTCTTGATGGGCAGTTCCACAGCCAAAAACTGTAGTCAGCCTTTCTGTTCAGAAGCAGAACAGAAGTGCTACAGCTTACATGCAGGCAAATAAGAGCAGAGATTATTTTCCCCTTGACACAAAGGGTTGCACTGACAGAAAAAGAAGTAAAAGAACTCTTTCAAGAATTAGCCATAGCTCATTTTAAGAAAGGTGCCAGCTTTCTTACTTCTGCTAAGAGAGAAGAACCTATTCAGCCTGGAATGGCTGCCCTGATATGGAAAACAAAGACATTTACACTGCTACAGAGCATCTCAGAGGAACATCATCCAAATGATCCTCAGCACTAAGCACAGCAGGGAAACCACCACAGAGACTGAACACTTTTAAGAAGTATTTCCATTGTTTTCATGCAGGTGGAAGAACTGGGCACCAGGGTGTCCCACACGTGTCTCCCACATGCAGCCCTGCCCAAGGGCAGAGGATACATTGGGCAGCAGCTCCCTGCAGAGCTGGTTGGCTTGAGTCCATTTTTCTGCATGTATTTACAAATCTGTTTTTGAGAACTTCAAGTGGCAAAAAGTTAGAATGTAAATTGAAAGTCTTACTGTTAATATGGAAAACTTTAAACTGTTATAGAGAGAAAGCCAAAATGACCTTCAGAAGAACCTCCCTCCTCATTGCACTCCTTTCCACCCTGCCCACTGAGGACACCCAACTCACAGGCCTGGACTGGGAACTTCTGGATGTGATGACAGTTCTCAGGACCCCCAACCCTGCTAGGAGAAACTCGACCTCAGGCTTCCAGGAGAAGCAGTTTGACTGCCTCAAACTCAGTACCCTCACTTGAAACAAGCATCATCTAAAACACCCTCACCATATCGCAGCAGTAAAGTTCTCATACAACCCATATTTCTCCTTCTACAAGCAGCAAACTGCATTGCTACCACTATAAATACAGTCTGGCCTTTGGTTCACTCCTTGGAAAAATGTCAGGTTCATTTGTCATGTCTTAACTCACATTAGGCAAGATTTCCAGTCCCAGATTTCATGTATGTAATGTATACAGAAACAGATTGAAGAGGAAGGATTAAAGAAGCAAAATTATATCGAAGCAAGTTAAACCGATGCCATCCTGCCTGTATAGAGAGGAAACTGAATTTGAAATCCTGTCCTGTTTCTTCTTATCTAATTTAGATTCTGCATCAGGCACAAAAAAGGTGAGACAGGCTCAGCAGCTCAAGGCAGCTAAAACAAGCAAGTGCTCAACCCAGAGAGACAGCCACTGATATTCTGGAGTGTTTAAGGAATACATGACAATTTCAGAACTGAATTATCCTCTATTCTCCTTTTAATATTTATTTTACTTGTATATACAAACATTTCTTCTGGTATTGGATCTTATATCCAGCAATGCTAAAGCCTTTTAATGAGAAATACACAACTAAAGATGGAGAAGGAACAGGCATTTGCATGCTCAGCTGCACAGCATACAGCATATGGCACGTGCCAGACACATGCCCAGGAGAAACACACGGACATCCAATGAAAGAATAGGATTTTGCTTTTAGCAAGTAAGATGCATTGTTGCAAACATGTTTATATATATTTCCAGACTTTTTAAACCTATTATTAAACCTTAGCAGCTAATGCCGATTCTTAATTGTTCATGCATTGTTTAAAATGCAGCCCATACCTGCAGGACGTGCAGAGGGATGTGCCAGTGAGAGCTTGGAGGACTTCAAACCTTCTAAGGAAATTACCAGGCAAACAACTTCTTTCAGATCTGATCTACTGCTGGTTTTAGAAGAACAACTTTTATAATTGCGTATATTTGGATCATAAATTATATATTTTTCTATAGATTCTATATTCTACACAGTTTTTCAAGTAGCCAATTTATTCTTGTATCTTAAGTTGAATTAAAAAAGAAAATATGGCTTTATTTAAGAGTTTAGGAAGAAAATTCATTGAGAGTTCAAGGCAGAGTTCCCACAATCCAAAGTTCAAGCCATCTGTGTAAGAACATACCCACAATTACACCAGACCCATTTATATGGCACTCCTGCATTTCTCCACCACGCACTTCCTTGCCAGTTCAAATGAGAGGTTTAACCTCTTTATGTTCATTTCTCTACCCCTTAACCACCATAACAGTCTTGTAGGATAAATCAGAAGGCTGACTTATGTTTTTTGCCAAGTGCTTTGGATTTGAAAAGCTCAGGATGAATTGCCTTACGATTTTGTTCTGATATAACTCAGAACATCTCAAAAAAAGTCACCAGGAAGCTGCAATTGCTTGCAGGCACCAGGTGTTGAGCAAATTTGTGCCTCCCTTTAACATTGGCTAGACTAAGAAGACTTGAGAACAATCTTGGGTTATCCTCCATTTACTTCAGGCAATGTGCAAGCAGAATTAAGCCTTTCAGTTCTCAGTCTCTTCAAGTTCTGGGCAGAGCAGCTCCCAGGAGCTTACAAGGAACTGCTACCAGCACTGCCCCAGTCTGTAATGCCCACTGCACATCCTGGCAATGCTGCTCACGCAGGGCTCAGGATCACACCCATGAGCAGGGCCCAGCCTTTGTCCCATCAAGCCTTTACATCTTCCTCTTCTGGAGCTTCTAAGTTCAAACTAAAGTGAGTATGAGAATATTGCAAAATAATGATGGCAGCTGTGACTGTGTCCTGTGACTAATAAGAATACAAATTAATTGAAAATGCATTTGTCTTTGGAACACACTGAACTGTACCAAAGAGCCCATAAAATCCCACTATTTCCCAAAGCAGGACATCCCCAGGCCTTCCATCCAAGGGTTCCCAGAACCCAGCAGCAAATTACTCAAGTCAGGCACTGCTTAGCACTCATTAATATGCATTAAAGGCAGAAGACACTTAATCAAAAGGAAACTGCAGTTCAAAGAATCAAAACCTCTGCTAAGATTAGCAAGGCAGTTATTTAGAAGTGAAAGCCACTCAGGAAAAAAAACTCGTAAGGATGGCAGAGAGCGACTGCCCTGTCTAATTAAGACAAAGATTATATTGATAAGCCACAAATGAGTTCATAGCAACACACAGGGCTGGGATTAGGGCTCCACTAATCTCGTTGGGGAGCAATAGAGCTCCTGTGCCCCTGAAGACCTGCCAGGCTTTCAAGGACCAGAGGATCTACAGATACCCATAAGCGTGAGGATGGCAGGGACCCTTCCCTACCTGCCTAGCTATACAGGACAAGGCCACACCTCCCATGGGACCTGCTGCCCATCCCCACCAGCCAGACGTCCCAGCAGCTCTCCCTGCACAGCTTTGTTGGGGTGGGCCTCACCCTCAACACCCCAAACCCACTCACATTTCTGAAGGCATTCTTTAAAAGTCTAATTTGATAGAGAAACTGCCTGGTATATTTAGGATCTACAGAAAACCCCGAGTTTTAGAGCTTTACCTCCTGTGGCTAATTAAATGTGCACTCAGTGAGCAACTTAATTGTCTCCTCATTCCCATTCCCATCACAGCTCCTGTTCTAGGCTGTAATGAAGCAACCCATCTAACTGCTGCTTCAGGACTCCAGAGCTTCAGCCTATCCTGTAACAGCAAGTTTAATTAATGTTCATTTTCTTCCTCATTAGTACTGCTTTACAAAGTTTCTCATTGCCACATAAAGGCAGATTTACTTCCCAATCTCCAGGCATGTGATACAGATATGAAGCTAAAATTAAATGTGACCAAACCTGAAATTAATAATAATTATTAAAAAATCTAAGTGTTTGTTTATTTAATTAAATCTATAACCTACAAAACCAGAGTGTTTCACAGAAAATGTATTTCTGTAAATAGAGAGTTCTGGGTTTTTTTGGGGGGGAGTATTTGATTCTGAAAAAGTAATTGCCACATAAGGCAGAATTTGGTTCTACCTGTGCAGAGCCAAATCCTAAATACAGCCCTGAACTTCATGGAATCCTCCCTGACACCAAAGGGAGGTTTGGACTATGTGACCGTTGAGCTGAGTGCTTGGTTAGCAGCCTGCACTCCCTATGATGTCAATGAATCCTCCAGAGGGGAATTTGCAGTATGGTATCCTCCCAGCAATCGATTCTCAGAGAAGCAGGGACAGGAGATTTGCATTTCACTGTACAGTTGCCAGAAAACATTCTGTAAATGACTCAAAAGAGAAAATATTTATATTTGCAGGACAACAGATCAGACAGGGACTTATTCCACTTCTATATCAATGTGTCTGTACTCTAAACATACTTCATTGCTTTACATTTGACTAAAATTGGAACTAATATGGCACTTTCAGCAGAAAATCAGAAAGCAAATTGAATGTGTTGTTTTTATTTATGATCCTTCTCTGGGTCTTAGAGCTGCAGGAATGGGCTTCTTCCAAACAGTAACAGATGTGTCCTCCCAGCACTAAGTACAGAAATGTTGTTAGTTCAATTGCATTACAATGGACCTGAGACATAAAGATCTCAGATGACTGGAGCGAGATCACTGAGGAAGCCTGGGTATAACCAAGGACACAGCACAGACCTTCCAAACTCATTCCATCCTATATGGGATTTCTCAGCATTTCCAGTTCTGCAATTTATTTATTCTCAATCATGAAGTATATTGATTTAGGAGCAGG